AAGAACCTGAACACTGACACCCCGACACAATCTCTGAATCCTAAATTCTAAACCCGAAGCCCCGAACCGGACTGCCTTGAACTAAAGCCCTAAACCCACGACCTCAAGCCCTAAAGCCTAAACCCGAAACTCTAACCTCTAGACCCTCAGCCCTAGACCCTACACCCTAAATCCTAAGCCCCAACCCTGAACTAGAGATCTAAACCCGCATATGGCTAGTTCGCTAAGTTAGGGTCCCTTTCAGGGTCCTTGTTATAAGGGTGCCGTGCTTTTTGGGGGATCTGAAAAGCGACACCGATTTGGAGAAGTACCCATGTAATGTAGGGGCCTTCACAACTAGAGTGGGGTTTGGGGGTATCTTGTCGTACAAAAAAGAAGGAACACCCAAAACCGCACTCTGATTATTACGGCCCCCATGCCCTAAACCCTTATAGCAGCAAGTATAGAACCCTTTTAGGGAGCCCTTAGAGGAGCCAAGGAACCCTATTCTTATTATTAAGGCCCCTGAACTATACTACCCTTATACCCTAAACCCTAAACCCCTAAACCTACCCCCTTTAAAGGACGTAGCCCGGAAATCCTCGACGCCGAACTCTTTCCCTAAAGCTTCGCCCAAGGGGCGTCCCAGGAGGTCCGTCAGCTTGTCCAGGAAAGAGGCATCCTTGAGGCCTAGGATGCGTTTATATAAGGTTCAGGGGTTCAGGGGTTTAGGGGTTAGGGTTTAGGGGTCTAGGGTATTTATGAGGTTTAGGGTTTAGGGGTTTAGGGGTTTAGAGGTTTAAGGGTTTAGGGTTTACGTAAGGGGTTTAGGGTTTTAGGGTTTAGGGTTTTAGGGTCTAAGGGTTTAGGGTCTTCGGATTGCGGGCGGCAGGGTCCAGGGTTCCTTCCGGAGCTCCTTGAACAGCTAATTGCTGTAGGGAGCTATAGGTTTAGGGATCTTCTTTCAGGGCCCCAGTTAGGGCTCTGCAAGGGGTTTATGTGGGGTTTCGGGTTTAGGGCTCAAGGTTTGGAGTTTAAGTCTCTTGGACCACCAGTTCTAAAAGTTTACATGGCTTTATAGGGGTTAGGTTTGCATGTTAGCCCAGCTGCGTTCAGTTTGCACTAAGGAACACCATAAGGGGGTTGAGGGTAAGCAGCCAAGACCCTTATGAGGAAGGTATCCCTAGTTCTCGTTAACTAACCCTCATGTCCTTCCTTCCGCACAGGGTCCTAAAAAATAAACCTCCCACGGAAACCCACCAAGCCCCTGACTCACAAAGGACTTGACTTTGCACACCACGCCGCAATGCCCAAAGCCCAACGCCTTAGAAACCAACGCCCTGACCCTGAGCCCCCAACCCTAAAAGAACTTGTTAGCTTTACTGCTGTACCCAGAAAGCCCAAAATCCCTTAGTTGAGGCTGTTACCTCTGAGCCATGCATTCGGGATCCCTCAGAATTCAAGGTCAATACTATACTGAAACCAAGGGGCATTGGGCTTTCAGGATCACCATATGGGTGGTTGTCAAAACTAGGGCCCCTTGTTGGTTCCCAAACTATAGCGTGCCATGTTCAGAATAGAATTACTTGGAGGTTCATGGGTATGTATACGTCGAGTTACACGTTGGGTAATTATAATCATGACCTATAGCCCTACTATGCCCTACTTATAGCTATCCATGAACCTCCCAGTATGATTTTGACAGTTGCACGTATGAAGCCCTATTTAATTTAGACCCCAAATAACCTACCTTTTCGAGGACTTGTATAAAGAAATCATAATGAGGAACCCGAAAAAGCTAGGTTATTCATTGTTAAGGTATATCAAAAACAAAGAAACCAGAGACGCTCGGGCCGTGGCCCACGTCGTAGTAGAACACGCCTCCCGCGGTGGTGTTGCTGGCCTCATACGATTTCCGGAACAGCAGGTGCTTTAGCCGGCAGGTAATTTAGGGCCCTTAATGATTAGATTCAGGCTTGGGATGTATTTTACTTCAGTTACAGGTACAGTTATACTAATGGTTTCGGATTGAAGGTCTAGGGTTTAGGGAGGTATAAGGCCGGAAGTCCCCACAGAAAATCCTGACGTCCAATGCCTGCTGTGTCCCACCTCTGGAGTATATATCGTACAATAATTACAGAAAAGACCACAGAAATACCCCGGGTACTAGTATGTTCCTAACTCTAAACCGTAAACTCCCAAGCACTTGGGGCGCCAAGGCACATAGAGATTGCGCACAGAATCCTCGCAGAACTTCTCCGCCTCCTTCAGCTGTTGGGCCTGTGGCAGGTTGGGGTTGCGCAAACGCGGCCTTAACCCGAATAACCTACCCCAAGGGTCCAAAGGACCCAATAATTAGGTACTCGGTTTTAGGATAGTAGCTATGTAGGCTAGGATCTTGGAGAGTATATGATTATTAGGTACTTGGGCCCTTGGGTCTACCCTTATGATTTCCTTATACAAGTCCTTAGAGGCCTGAACCCTGAATAACCTACCTTTTCGGGGCTCCTTATTATGATTCCCCTACATAAGTCCTTTAGGAGGTAGGCTATTCCGGGTTAAGGGCGGCCTTCAGAACGAGAACTGGTCTTCAAAGTCGATTAGAGTCGGGTTACCCAGAGACTCCAAAATCCCTTAATTAAGGGATATTCCTTAAATTATAGTAGGATCCCTAATATGATTTAAGGAGTATTCCTTAATTAACGGATTTTGGAGTCTCTGGGTAGTATAGTCGCGACCAGAAGGGGACACCTTAAACAGCTCGTCGAGCTCTATACTTCCTAGAGGCTCATACCCGACCCCTGTTTTAGGATACTTAGTTGTTTATGGTTAGGTAGGGTATGAGCCTACAGGTAATACACACAGCACCCAACATGCTGTCAGGGACGGCCTGGCTTAGCTTTAACCTTTCCCTTCCTTTCCTGACACAGGTCCCAGGTCTCACGCCCTAAAACTTGAAACTCCCTAAACCCTAAGGACCCTGAAAAGAACCAAAAGAACTCTAAACCCTAAGCCCACAAAAGGACCCTGAACCCTAAACCCTGAAAAAGAAACCCAAACCCTAAACAGGACCCTGAACTTTAAAGCCAAGACCCCAAACCCTAAACCCCCCCACAACCCTGAACCGTAAACCCTAAACCAAAACCCCAAACCCCCCTGAACCCTAAAGCCAAGACCCCAAACCCTAAACCCCCCGCACAACCCCGAACCCTAAACCCTAAACCCTAAACCCCAAACCCTAACCCCCCCCACCCCCACAACCCTAAACCCTAAACCAACACCCCAAATCCTAAACCCCTGGAAGGAAACCCAATGCACCTCTATGAGCTGCACGCATTTCAGGGCATGGTCCCTGGCGACCTCAGGCGGGGCTCAGAGTTGAGGGTTTAGGGTTTTGGGGTTTAGGGTTCTAGGATTTAGGGTTTTAGGGTTTAGGGTGAGGGCTCAGGGTTCAGAGCTTCGCGCCGTTCTGTTAGGAAGGGAGAGGGCGAAGTAAACCTTAAACCCGAATCCCGAAGCAAACCCTCAATCACATGTAAACCCTAAATCTTAAAAGGTTAAGTCGTTCTTTAGGGGTTAAAAGCACTTGGGTCTTAGGATTGTCAGAGGGGTGGTCTGGTTTGCAGCACGCAGACTAGCGCCCCGGGTGCTTTGACAACGTGTGGGGTATAGTTTCGCTGTGTCTCTATAACTGGCTGTGTAAACGGAAGCATGCACATAGGATTAGATGTTCAGGATGCGGTGCTGGACTTTGGCACTTCTGCAGCCTAGACCTTGTGTAGCATTTTCAAGTCCCGCCCAACCTGAAAGTACAAGAGTGTACCACTGAACAGCCTGGATATAAATATATATATATATATATACATACATGTATGTATGTATGTATGTGTGTATGTGTATGTATATGTATATGTATATGTACATGTACATGTACATGTATATGTATATGTATATGTATATGTATATGTATATGTATATGTGTATGTATGTATGTATGTATGTATGTATGTGGGCAGGGTCCTGTCTCCAAACGTTGCCGATGTTCTTGAAGCCACAAAACTGTTTCTCTTCGCGTGTCGACGTTGGTGTGCCACGGGCAGAGGCATTTTGTGCCAAGCCGCACTGCAGTCTGTACAGGAGGATTCTGGACAAAACTGTGAAAATCCTAAAACGTACAAATGGGTCCCCTCCACGACCTGCAAAAGACCCTGGCCAAGCTGAACCGCTTCACGGATTCAATTTCTAGAGCTTCGGCTTTGGGTGTTCCTGCACCCCAAGCAAATCTTAATTAAGCATAACAGGCGGGCCGGAACATAGCTTAGGAACTTCAGCATCACGCCCGAAACTGAATAGCTTGAACACCATGCTATGAGGATTAAGACCCGAAACCCAAAAGCAAGGGCCGTTTAAGCCCGCAAACAAAAGCCTCGAACCTCCAAACTCTGAACTCTACAACTATGAGCATGGCCACGGTCAACACTGTGCGTCGGATACATGAACTAGGCTAGGTCTGATACAAGGCCAGATGTGGTGCAAGGAATCTTAACCCTCCCTTGACACATGTGTTTCAAACACGGCAAGCACATGACGAGAAACCCAACCTCAGAAACCATATAAACCGAATTAAACCCCAGAAATCTTGGACCCTCAAGATCATTGGTTAGATACTGTCGCGAGCAGGCCGGAGAAGGGTCCCAGCCAACAAGACATAATGGCACAAAAATGTGCGGAAGAGCTCAGAAATAAGCCATCCGTGAGTGCTGCTGGAAGCTCCACTTCCGACTCACGTGGCGATTCTTCGTGGTCTGGTCAGGGGAAACATACTGCACACAGTCTTCTTGAAAGCCTGTGCAGTTCGCTGATGGTGAGGTCTTCTCACATGCAGTCAAAAACTGCGCATCAGGCGCTCCCTGACAAAGGATCGGAATCAGAATCGTAATGTTAGGTGCCTTTATTTGTGGTCCGACTATCTGCATTGTAACCATCATACATACAGAGAACCATACAGTAGCAACTTTGACTTATGCTGTTGCCTCCCCCCAGGCATTCTTGGAGCCTGGTTGCACACACACCACAGAATTCATCGACTTAGCTTCAGCACTCAGTGAGTAGGCCTTGGCCGGGGAATGGCTCTTACAGTCGATGCCCACCTTAGTTGCTGAGTTCATAAGCCCCAAAAAGTGTACACGTTCAGTTTTAGAGGGGGCAGTATTCTCACAAAAAGTGTACACTTTCAGCTTTAGAGGGGGTAGTATTATCCCCAAAAGTGTACACTTTCAGTTTTAGAGGGGGTAGTATTGTCCCAAAAATTGTAAAGTGTATGCACTCATCTACGAAGCCACTTCCTCCACCTCCTCCGAAATTCGGAGGAGACCAGTGAGCTTCAAGACCAGGAAGGCAATCGTGGAGAGGGCGCCAGACCACAAGATGACCATACCTTGGGCACGGCCCCACATACACTAACAGACCATAATAGGGCTATTAGGGGTTCAGTTTTAGGGTTTAGGGTTTAGGGCCATATATATATATATATATATATCTGTATGATGGATATTATCCAACTGTTACTGAGTGGGGGCAAACCCAAACCATACCTAGACCCAAGAGGAACCTAGGAATAAAAAGGGTGCTATAATCCTTAACCCTTTGCGCCGAACCAGAACCACAGGGTTTAGATCAACAAGGCTTATATGAAAGGAACCCAAAATCTCATTTTTGTATGTGGTTGGCTTTATTTGTGTTTAAAAGTGTTTTTTTGTATTTAAAAGTATTGTTTTGTATTTAAAAGTTTTTTAAATAGGTTTTTTTGTGTTTTACAGTTGTTAAAATTCTTTTATTTTATTTTTGGTGTAAAAAATACATGTTTGTGAATTTTGTTTCTGAGTGAGTCAATTGGCTTCCTGTTGTTCTACCTGGTTTCCTGCTGCTGTATGTCTACAAAATTGTTGTTTATTTGTTGTTGAAGTTAATAATTTTTAATATTTAATCTTTTTAAATAGTTTTGGGTTGTGATTGAACAAAGAAGGGAGGCCGTAGTGACATGTTGACTTGCCTTGAGATCTTGCCCTTACCCACGCGGATCGACTGCCCTTCTCGGTTCATGGGCACCGTTGGCCGGGTGTCAGGTGTTGAGTCGATGGTACCTGGACCGCCTTGGGGCCAACGTGCCAGGGCAGTGGCATATGACACCCGGGCACATGGGCTAAAGTGCCGGGTGGGGTGGTCCAGTGGTTGTGGCTTGATCTGTTCTCCCAACCAGGAGGGGAGGCCATCCATGCTTGTCACGTTAGTTAGGGAGCCTTGCGACTTGGAGCGACAGAGGCAGAGTGCCACCTTACCCACACGGATCGACTGCCCATCTCGGTTCGTGGACACCGTTGGCCGGGTGTCAGGTGTTGTCGATGGTACCTGGACCGCCTTGGGGCCAACGTGCCAGGGCAGTGGCATATGACACCCGGGCACATGGGCTAAAGTGCCGGGTGGGGTGGTCCAGTGGTTGTGGCTTTTTTATTTTTCTCCCAACCAGGAGGGGAGGCCATCCATGCTTGTCACGTTAGTTAGGGAGCCTTGCGACTTGGATCGACAGAGGCAGAGTGCCAGTCGAGCCTCTCGAGGTTGCCTTACTTAAGTCCCTGCCCCATCGGGGTTGCTCCCCACACCGTTGGCCAGGTCTAAGTGTTCGGTTTGAATCCAAGCCTAGTGAACGCCTTCTCTTCCATTTCCTTCTCTCCCATCGGTCTTCATCGGCTTCCAGCCCATCGAGAAGTGGATGCCAACTGCTGGGATCTCAGCATCAGCTTGCTTCAGCTACTTCCATTATTATGGTACAGTCCTGGCACCGAGGCTCATGACGAGGATCCTGAGGACATGCTGCCATCGCAGAGGACAAGCTGCCTTGCATAGTCAGTGAGCGTGTCATGTATCGCAACTTGCCGCTGCAGCAGTTGTGCTCGCTGTTGCCCTGCGTAATCTACTATAGTCGTGTTACAGCTGCTCTGTCTCAAGTCTAAGTCGTAGTAGGCCCCCCTGCAAGCCGGCAGATGTCGTCGACGTCGTGGAGTGACAGTGAGTCTCTGGGCTCGGACTGGGTTCTGGTTGACGATGAGGGTGCAAGCACTGCGGGCTCGGTCGCGGACAGTTTTGACGACGATGATTCTGTGATTCCGTTCGACACGATGCTAGAGGAGTGCTTTACGACATTCTGGATGTTTCTGAATTCTCAAGAGCGTGGGCAAGTCTTGCAAGTAGCCTGGTCTGTCAATGAGCAGATCATGTTCACACTCTTTCCGAGACTTCGGCGGGATTTTCGGCAAGGCAGAGTGCCAGGAATTTTATATTACAATGTGTCAGACGAATTTCTGGCGTTACTGCTTCAATGATTTGTCGTGTTTGTACAGCCTCCGAGACCGTATTACGGATGTTGGGGAAGGCAGAGTGCCGGGTTTGCGTGTGTTTAGAGGATTTTGAATTCGACGATCTCGCCAGCAGAGCTAGACTGTCCGATTTGAGACCTCAGCGGTAGTGTGCGCAACTTGGATTCAAAACGGTTACCCAGCATGACATGCTGACTACACAGTGCCGGGTGGCAGTGATGTCCTCAGGACCCTGCTGTCTCCGAGGCTGGCTGCCTGCCTGCCTGCATAGTCTGTCAGTGAGTTGCCTTGCACCATACATGATCGACATCTGTCTGCCGGCCAGGGAATCAAGTGATTCATTCATACTGATGTAACAGTAGTAACACAATGTTACATATCATTGATTAATGTACTGTATAGTGATGCATTAGTCACTGTTAATGTTTTAATCTTTGGACAATTGAAGTGTGCTCGATGAAAGCAGTGATCCCGACGACCTGCTCTGTCTCTAGTCTAAGTCGTAGTAGGCCTCCCTGCAAGCCGGCAGATGTGGTCGATGTCGTGGAGTGACAGTGAGTCTCTGGGCTCGGACTGGGTTCTGGTTGACGATGAGGGTGCAAGCACTGCGGGCTCGGTCGCGGACAGTTTTGACGACGATGATTCTGTGATTCGGTTCGACACGATGCTAGAGGAGTGCTTTACGACATTGTGGATGTTTCTGAATTCTCAAGAGCGTGGGCAAGTCTTGCAAGTAGCCTGGTATGTTAATGAGCAGACCAGATTTGTGCGGGATTGCAGGCAAGGCAGAGTGCCAGGAATTTTACATTACAATGTGTCAGACGAATTTGTGTCGTCACTGAATCAATGATTTGTCGTGTTTGTACAGCCTCCGAGACCGTATTACGGATGTTGGGGAAGGCAGAGTGCCGGGTTTGCGTGTGCTTAGAGGATTTTGAATTCGACGATCTCGCCAGCAGAGCTAGACTGTCCGATTTGAGACCTCAGCGGTAGTGTGCGCAACTTGGATTCAAAAGGTTACCCAGCATGACATGCTGACTACACAGTGCCGGGTGGCAGTGATGTCCTCAGGACCCTGCTGTCTCCGAGGCTGGCTGCCTGCCTCCATAGTCTGTCAGTGAGTTGCCTTGCACCATACATGATCGACATCTGCCGGCCAGGGAATCAAGTGATTCATTCATACTGATGTAACAGTAGTAACACAATGTTACATATCATTGGTTAATGTACTGTATAGTGATGCATTAGTCACTGTTAATGTTTTAATCGTTGGACAATTGTGTGCTCGATGAAAGCAGTGATGCCGACGACCGTTTCAAGGTGCTCAGGGAGTTCCGAGGCAGAGTGCCAGAGTTCTGCTGCTGACCATCATCAGGCCAATCACATTGACCTTGGCAGTGATTACTGGAACGAAGCCGTGCAACAACTTCGGTGGAATTGTTTACACTGTGGCAGATCAGCTGCCGACTATACCACCGGGCTCCGAAAGATCCAAAGGGCTGCACAATTGGATCAACGAATCAAATTGGCAGTTGAGGCCATCTCAGATTTCGGAGATATGGATATGAAGTTGTACAAAGCATGGACCGGCCAGACAGATGTGCTGCCTGGGTCGATCCCGCCACCTCGGCCATGCCAGCATGATGTCGAGACGTGGCCCATGGATGATGTTTTGATTTACGACCATCCCCAGTGGCAACTGTTTGTTGGCAGTATTGGTTGCCCGATCCGATATGACCAGCTCCGGGTCAAGCCTGACATTGTCATCTCTATGAATGCAGATGACAGACCTCGGAATTTTGAGCCATGGGACTGGTATCAGTATTTGGCGAATTGTGGACCGTTTGGCACTGCACATCTTCGGTATGGTGGCTGGGATCAAACACATGCCAATGACTTTGATGCTGAACAAAGAAGTCATGAGTTCAAGAGCATTTGGCGCCGCCTCATTTCAGATTTCAGAAAGATTATGATGTGCTGGCAGCGCTCAGAAGAGGAGTTCAGCCAGAGTCAAAGGCAGAGTGCCATCAAGGGCAAAATGATGGGCAAGGCCAATGGCGGCAGGGGCAAGGGCAAGACAATCAGCAAGGGCTACAGCGGCCCCTGTCAGGTTTCCAATCACATGCAAAGCCAGAAGGCATCGACGAAGGGCTCATTTGGCTATGGCTGCTCCTATGACAAGGGCTTCAGCAAGGGAAGTGACATGGGCAGCCTGTTCGGAAGAGCCGCTGATGGAAGGCAGAGTGCCGATGGAAGGCAGAGTGCCTTGAAGGTGGCCGATGAGACATTCCCTGGTGAGCTCGGTAATGCTCTTGCTTTGTTGGAGGCGATGAAGCTTCAGGGAGGTGGTCGGAAGCGTGGAGGCAAGAAGAGGCCAATTCGTGTGCTTGTCCATTGCTACGGTGGCATTAACAGGACCTGTGCTGCTTATTGTGTCCTAGTCATGGCCTTTGCCTCGATGACCATGGAACAAGCCATTGTCAGGTGGATCAACCACCGAGCCTACTATGCTCCATTCCGGGATCGTGAGTACATGATTGAAGCACTGCTGGAAATGCAGGATGAGCTGCACACGTACAGTTGATCATCGACACTGAACCCGAAGTCCATGGTCAAACAGTTCTGCTCCAATGAATGATTCTGAGCCGTCGAAATTTGTGTCCCGACACTGGCCCAGCCAGAGAGTCCTGGACCCGACACTGGACTGCTGGCTGGAAGTGAAACACAGTCCTTACCTTGATAAGGCTAATAGTTACATTCCCACTTTCAGCTGGCAGTCACAGCTTAATTCGTGCTTTTAAACCTGGCTGCCGGTGTTACTGACTGAGCTTAAAAAGAAAGTGAGATCATGCCCGTCTCGGTTGTGGAAACTGTCAGTTCCTTTGTCGGTTGTGCCGACATGGTGATCAGGGCCGCTGGGGCGATTGGATGAGTGAATCCAGCCGGCGACTCAGTGGGTGCAAGTGTGACTTTAACAGTCAGTCTCCGGTGATTGTAATGAGTGCTCATTTTTGCCTACTTGTGCTGTTGCAGCAGTCTGGGTTCCGGTGTAAGGCAGAGTGCC